CTTACTTACGCCTGTTACCCCAATGGAGCATAGGCCACCGACCAGAATTCTTCAAACCACTCTGTTCTGGGCATTCCTTACTAGTTCTGTCCAATTTTTGTTCATTCTTTTTATGTCTGTCTCCATTTCTCGGCATAATGTGTTCTTGGGTCTTCCTCTTTTCCAAATTATCAATCAATTGTTCCAAACGTGACTGTTCATTTTGCAAATATCAGTCAATCACCTCAGACTTCATTGTTCTTTTGATCCCATACCAACCATTTTTTGTTGTCGTTCTGTTTTCTTTAATCTTCTTAACCTTCTGCAACCAGGCATTTCACTTTTGATTGATGATACATATTACTTATATCTATCGACATCAGTAGTACACACCACAATGATATCTGAATTGTATACTTTTATGATTGTCTAGGAGCTTCAGTAAACTGATGCGTTTTTCCACAAAATAATCCATAAACTACCTGAAAAATATATTTATGCATCAATTGTATTCATAAGTAAATATATCTTATTCATTTCCTTTTCAAATTAATGAATAACACTTTTTATTAGAGTTGTCAAACATACTTACTTACTTACTTACTTACTTACTTACTTACTTACTTACTTACTTACTTACTTACTTACTTACTTACTTACTTACTTACTTACTTACGCCTGTTATCCCTCGTGGAGGAGCATAGGCCGCCCATCAGCATTCTCCATCCAACCCTGTCCTGGGCAATCCTTTCCCGTTCTTTCCAGTTATGATTCATTCTTTTCATATCTGCTTCTATTTGCTGGCGTAATGTGTTCTATGGCCTTCCTCTTTTCCGCTTTTCTTCCGGATTCCTAGTTAGGGATTGCCTCGTGATGCAGTTTGGTGATTTCCTTAATCTATGTCCAATCCACTTCCAACGTCTTTTCCTAATTTTCTCTTCAGCTAGAAGCTGGTTTGTCCTCTCCCATAAAATGCTGTTTCTGATAGTATCCGGCCAATGAATGTTGAGTATTTCGCGAAGACGACTGTTTATAAATACCTGTATCTTCTTGACGATGGTTGTAGTAGTTCTTCATGTTCCAGCTCCATACAATAGGACTATCTTGATGTTCATATTGAAGATTTTGACTTTGATATTGGTTAACAGTTGTTTTAATCCCCATATGTTCTTCAGTTATAGGAAGGCTGTCCGTGATTTGCTAATCCTCACCTTTATGACTGACAGTTGTTTATCTAAATTACAAGTTCACTTTACTTAACTAACAAATATATGTATATATCTGCATACAATTAACAATAATAATAATAATAAAACAACAACAACAATATTCATGTTGTTTTCATATGGTTCAATTAGTCATTACACTTATTAGCATTTTAGACAATCTATAAAAATTATTGCGTAACCTATGGATTATGTAATAAATTTCAGGGTGAAATCAATAGAATCTTGCCAATCGTAAGGATGTCACTTATTTGTGTGACTTATTTAGTTGCTAACTTACTTGCTTAGTTACTACTGTTACCCCCAATGGAGCATAGGACGTCAATCAGCATTCTTGTAAAGATTAATTTAAGATGGCTATTATTCATGAATTGTTATAAATTAAGAGAAAAAAAGTCCCAGAAAGCTGAAATGACAAAACTTTGGAGCTTTTTACACTATTCAATTTAAATTATAGGTAATTATAAATTCACTTAGTATTCACTTAGTATATCGAGGCAGTACGCACAGTATTCCCATGTGCCAATTAGAGACTGACCAGTTGCAGTCCTAAAACATCAATGGGAAGATTCAAACAAAACAATACTTAGTGAATTTAAACTTCACCTCCATTGCACAAGCAAGTGGCTATCAGGACTCAGTATCTAAGTGGATAACGTGATGGCATTTGAATTGAAAAGTACTGGATTTGAGTCCCAGAGTGAACGTCAACAAGTCTGTGATGCAGGTACATCCACATGACGAGTCTCAAATAGGACGAAACGCGTGTCAAACTGGATTCCACTGCTAGTCAATATCTATCTTTCCGTACAATAGGTAATTATCATTCAGTTTTATAGGGGAGTATTTCCCTTGATCGGAAATGGACTAGATTAAAATGTGAGCAGTTCCATTAATTCAACTTTTATCAAGTAATGATTAAATCATATTCATTCTCTGTATAGTCAATATCTGTTGTCAGTTCTTTGATGAAAGCGCTTTAGGAAGTATCCAGTTAATGATTACTGAAATTGATTCTGTTTTAAAAAATGGTCATTAAAGGTTTGAATGGGCTGTTCTTTTAAATCAGAATAGAGATTTGTAGAGATTGTAATAATTTTAACAGTTGAATTCATTCAAGGATCGAACTCAGGACTTTCGTGATAATGAAGAAGATTTGTAGCTCAGGTGGGTGATTTTGATGTTGGTTTGTTCTCTTAGCTGGATGGTTGGGTCGTGGAGCTTTCACCATCCTTCTGAACGACATCATCAGCATAAACTTCGGGTAGAAGTTTGTGCACGAAATTTGTGCTGATGATGTCGTTCAGAAGGATGGTGAAAGCTCCACGACCCAACCATCCAGCTCAGAGAACAAACCAACATCAAAATCAGGACTTTCGTATTATACCATGAGCCCTTAACTATTAGAACTATTGAGTATAAAGTTAAGATTAATAACTGTAAAGAATCGAAATTCGGTATCAATTAAGATCAATAATTTATGTGTTCACAATCTTGTTACTATGATTTAAAGTGTATATTCACAGTTTAAATCTAATCTCTTGGCAAGTAGATTTATAGGTATATATATACATAATGATTTAAAGATCAATTTTTGTTCAGATAAATGTAGACTGATGTACATAGTTTCGACATAAAAGAGTGTTTGATATATGCCTATAATGGCCGTTAGTTTGAAAGCAAAACATCTCATAACCTCAACTAATTATTATTATCACTACTATTAGTAGTAGTGGTGGTGATAGTAATAGTAGTAGTGGTGGTGGTATTAGTAGTAGTGGTGGTAGTAGTAGTGGCGGTAGTAGTAGTATGAATTGAAATAAATTCACTAATTAAATATTCTGCATCTTACCGGTATAATTTTGTTACCAAAGATATAAATAACGTTAGTAATTTAACTAACATTATACTTAAGTTTATATAAATAGAAATCATTTCTTCTTTGTTTTCCGATGAAAGTTCTGTAGCTAATTAGACTCATACAAGGAGTGGTATTGATACTATTCAATTCGATGAATTAAATGAATCGCACTGCTGAGAAGTCTCATAATAGGACGAAACGGCCATCAAACAGTACTTCCAGGTTTTTCATGGTGGTCTAGCTACAATTGACTCATGATTTCAACGATGAAAATATTAAAAGAAGAACAAAATAAAGCACTTATAGGATGAGATACTCATGGATCTAGAATCATCAAAGTATTCTTCAAAACAAAGAAGGAAGGGATTACAATGAATGTTATCTAGTGTTATCCATCCATTAGCTTTATTCAATGTTAAATGTTTTGGTACAATATAGAATTCTCAGCACAATGTACATCAACAAGACTTCGTTTCTTACTTCTTGGTCGATCCTGAAGATAAATATTGAGTGATCACCAGTTAGTAGTTAGCAGTTCAATAAATTGACATCTAAATAATGTACATTCTTTTCGCTGTATATTGCCTGTCAGCACCCATGATATCTCTGATTGAGCCTTTTGTAACTTGTGCAACTAAAGATTGTACACTTTTCAGAAATGTATGTGAATAGGTTATACAATTAATAGCCATAATGATGTATTGAAACAAACAAAATTGGATAAGTTGTTGAGATATCTAGATGACAGGAACAGGTAGCCCAGATATTTAAGAAGTTATTTTATTAAAAAAAACTGATATCACTAACATGATAAACGAATATTCAATGAACCAACACAACATAGTGATTATTTGTATTTTCATAGTTGACGGCCGTTTTGTCCTGTTGTGGGAATCTTCAGTGGCAGTGCGCATCCACGATCCCGCACCCGCGAGATTGAAACCCAGGACCTACCAGTCTTGCGCCAGAGCACTTAAACGATAAACTGCTGAGCCGACCATCATCCAACTGTGTTAATGTCTAACTTCAACTGATCCGTAAAGTCGGACAACCGTTCACTAATTGTCTTCATTGAGTTGATGTCTCACAATAGAAGTGGTGCTTCCAGTGCTTCCAGGTTTTCCATGGTGCTCTAGCTTCAAATGACTAACGCTTTCAACTATGAAAATACTAAATCTCTATAAAACCCCTTCTGATTATTTACATTGTTTAAATACTTAACTAATAACTTTCAATCAATCAATATGATCATGGGAGGTAAATTTAAAACTGATTATTATCACTATTATTATTCTTTGTTCCTTTCTTTGAAAACAAAAGAAAAGAAAAGAAAAAAAGAAGTAACAACTGCTTTAAAAAATTTAATCCCAATAAACCATTTTTTCTTTTTTCTTAGGATATAAAAAAATGATTCAGTTATCTTCATAGTTGAAGGCGTTAGTCAATTGAAGCTAGACCATCATGGAAAACCTGAAAACACTGTTTGACAGCCGTTTCTTCCCATTGTGGAACTCCTCAGTGGCAGTGAGCATCCACAATCTCGCCTCACGAGCGAGATTCGAACACAGGACGTACCAGTCTCGCGCCAGAGCATTTAACCGATAGATCACTTAGCCGGCATCCAATGGTGTTTATGTTTAACTCCAACCAATCCACGAAGTTTAAGCAACCATTCACCAATTGTCCAACGCTTCCAGGTTTTCCCTTGTTGTCTAACTTTAATTGACTCATGCTTTCAACTATGAAGATTCAATTATCATTGGATTACTAATATTATTACATACTTAATTCTGATTGGTCGAACCGTAGAGATGACCTTGAAGGGTCAAACCAATCAGCGTATAAATATCATAACTAGACAAGGTAATGTGATATCGTTTTTTTTTTTAAATCATGCTCTATACTACTTACTATGTTCATTATTTATTATGAAAATGTTTATTATCAATAATAATAAATTGTATTATACTACTTATTTATTTCTTATTTGTTTATTATTGGAATATAAAAATTGTCAATTAAAAAATGAAAAAAATAATCAAAAAATAAAAAATTTATTGAATGATTTAATCAATAAATTTATTAATAATTATAAACAATCAATAAATCATATAGAAACAACTGATATGATGATTGTTAAAAATAAACAAATTGAATTGAATCAATCAATAAAATTGAATCCTGATGAAGATGATCATGATGTTGTTGAAGATGTTGAAGATGATCAAGATGATGATGAATTGATTCATGGAAATCATCTTCATGAGATTAATTACTATAAAGATAATTCAAAATATGAAAATAAAATAAGTGAGTTATTCTTGTATGATTAAATGAATAAAGTTTATGTTCGTTTTATGAAAGATGTAAAATAAGAGATAAGATATAAGGTTTGATTTTTACTCCCAATTAAGTATAGGCCATGGACAAGGATTCTTCAAGCCACTCTGTCCTGAGACTTCTTTTGGGAATTCTTAAAATCTTTTAAAACATGAGTGCTTACTTACTTACTTACTTACTTATTTACATCTGTTACCCTTAATAGAGCATAGGCCACTGATCAGTATTCTCCAACTCACTCTGTACTGGGCATTCATTTCTATTTTTATCCAATCGATGTTCATGCTTGTTATGTCTGTTTCCGTTTCTCGGTGTAGTGTGTTCTTTGGTCTTTCTCTCATACTACGGCCTTTACGATTCTATGTGAGGGCTTGTCTTGTGATGCAGTTCGGTATTTTTATAGATTTGTGTCCTAACCACTTCTAGTGCTTCTTCTTGATTTCTTCCTCTACTTTTATTAAATTTAAGACGCTTATATTTCCTATTCATTATTTAAACATTAGTACTGATAAAAAATGATCCTCTATTCAAAATAGATATCTACATGTCTAATAATAACATATTATCGAAATGTGAGTTTGTGGAGATTGTAGTAATTTAATAGTTGAATAGTTGATACATGAATTCAATTATCAAATTATTACAACCTCCACCAATCCTTATGTGTTAAATAGTGACTAGCTTCAACACAGATTTCCTGGAGTTCCAGTAAGAAGCCGTGGTCAATAGAGTTCAACTGTGTCTAGTGTGAGGCAGTCATTTAATGAATGCAATAGAGGACGGCTGTACAATATCATGGATTGGTCGAAATTAGACATTGACACCGTTGGGTTCTGGTTAAATGGTCTACAGATTACGTGTTTACTAGCGAAACCAATGGTCCTGAGTTTAGCTCCTTTGTGCATGATCGTGAATGCATGCTGCTGAAGAGTCCTATACTAGAACGAAACGACCATCGAATACTTCCAGGTTTTTTATGATGCTCTAGCTTACATAGACTCATGAATTCAACTATTAAAATACCATATTTATTAAGGAGTAGAAGTAGTAAGAGTATAAGCAATAATGTGAAAGATTAGGGTTTGAAGATGTTATTGAAGGAGTATAACACAGTGAAATAAATTTGGAAAAAGAATAAAAAAAGGCGCATGAAGAATGAAGAAGATTAGAATTTGGGAGAACACAAAGAATGGATGCACCTTCGCCATTGCAAACGATTTTCAGCCATGTCATTCAAGGTCTCTAACCATCGATTGTTATCATTTCGCCGATCCCAACCAGATAGTCTACATCTATCAACATGACTCAGTCCACTTGTCAGTGACTTCATGGATTTGTACCACGTTTCCGTCTGGCCGCCCCTAGCTTTCTTCCAACCTACTCCTACACCATAAAACATTTACATGTCGGGGCAGTCGGTGGTTGAGCATACGTGACACATGTCCCAACCATCTTAACTGATGAATTTTCACTACTTCATCAATCGATTTTCCATACTTACCTAGTACCCGTTGGCATTACTTACTCGGTGGTCCCAGGATATACGAGCAATGCTTCGAAGACACTCATGATCGAATACTAGCAGCCTATGCAAATGAAGTAATTAATTTATGCTTTTCATAACTTACAAAGACATTCTATAATCTACACGAGCACTTAACCTGTAGACCGTTGATCCAAAGGTGATAATATTTAAGTTCGATCAGTTCACGATATCGAGCGACTATCTTCCATCATTTTCGGCGAGTAACTGCATCACACGCGACATGGATTACCTGTACTGGTCACTGGTTCCCACTAGAACTTAGAGAACTACCTCTCGAAGTTAGTCACTAATAAGCGCATGATACCGTACTATACATTATACTATTTAACAAGCAACTGTTTGAAATTGAGACAATTAAGACAATGTTCATACTATTTAGTTTAACTTACGTATCTAAATCATAAACAGAAAAAAAAATCCAATTTAGGCTAAGCAAATTTGGTTATGTAATTCTATAAAATAAGAAAATATATACTTAATTTTCATAGTAGAAATCATGATTCAATTGAAGCTAGACCACCATAAAAAACCTGGAAGCACTGGACGGCCGTTTCATCTTATTGTGGGACTTCTCAGCAGCGCGCATCCACGATTCCGCCTCGCGAGTCCCACAGAATAACGAAACGGCTGTCCAGTGCTTCCAGGTTTTCCATGGTGGTTTAGCTTCAATTGACTCATGATTCCAACTATGAAAATACTGAAATCTCCACAAAACCCCTACTGAATATACATAATTGTTGTACTGAATTACATTTATATTCAAGGAATCTCTAATTTATTAATCCCACAGTTAAATATACAATCATTATTCAATATAAGATGACCTTGTAGAATATTGAGCACTTTCCATTCGGTAAATTTAAATTTATTTTTTGGTTAATTAAAACGATAATTAGCAGACAATTAGTAGAATTTAATTGCACATATGCCAACAACAGACTGATCAATTATAGTCTTAAGCATCAGTGGGATGATTCAATTAAACAATATCAAGTGAATTTAAACTTCACCCCATTGCATAAGCAAGTAGGTATCAGGAACCAATCACTTTCTGTTCCTGTTCTCTCCTTCCTGAAATTCTCGACCTTTTGATGCTAGGCATTTTAATCCTGACTATCGTTATATATTACATATGTTTCTATAAATAGCACACGCCACACTGCTACCCATTGTGGAGCAACATAGGCTGTCCACCATGATTCTCCATCCAATTCTGTCCTGGACAATCTTTTCCAATTCATTCACTTGATATCTACTTCCAATTCCTTCTACAATTTATTCCGTTTCCCTTCAGGATTCCAATTTAGTGCTCGCCTCGTGATACAGTTTGACGAATTCCGTAATGTATGTCCTATCCAGTTCCAGCATCTTTTCCCAATTTCCTCTTCAGTTAAAAGATGGTTTGTTCTTACCCACAGTGGTCTGTTGCTGATGGTATCCGAACAACGGATATTGAGTATCTTAAGTAAACAACTGTTTATGAATACTTGTATAGTTTTGATGATGCTTGTAGTAGTTCTCCAAGTTTCAGCTCCGTACAGTAATACTGTCTTGACGTTTGCATTGAAGATTGTGACTTTGAAGTTGGTCGACAATTGTTTTGAGTTCCATATATTCTTCAACTGTAAGAATGCTGTTTATACTTTGCCAATCCTTGTCTTTACTTCTATAACATTTAGATATGATGTATAGAATGAAATATATACTCAGAGTTTCTTGTAGACTACTTCAAACCACCACCTAGTATTTAAAGATAGTTCATTTGATGTCGAAATAATAAGACTACATTACAACTTGATTGATAAAATTCGATCACTACTGAAGGACTAGACAAACAACTCAATGGTCATCACTTGGTGGTCGATCAATTATAGAAAGAAGACTGTTGTAAGAAGATACCCTCTCCCAATTATTTGTCTTTAAAATTCCGTACAATTTTTTCGATTTACAATTCCGTCTCTGTATTCTTCAAGTCAACCTTCATAGCTTTCTGCTATTAGGTTTTTAACTTGTATAGAGGTTAAGCGCTCACGCGCGAGGCCAATAGGTCCTGAATTGGAGTCCAGTGAGCGGGATCGACAAATTTTCACTTGTCTTTTAAGATAGTTTCATGTGTGCTACTAATGTCGTCAGATATAAGTAGTATGTATCATCAATCAAAATAGAAATGCCTTACGGCAAAATGATTAAGAAGATTAAAGGAAAGAGAACGAGAACAGAGAGTGATTGGTGTGAAAATAAAGGAACAATCAAGTCTGAGACAATTGATTAACATTTTGCAAATGGAGTATTTACTGTATAGTTCTCAGATTTCACTAAGTGTTATCATCCACTACAATAGTACGGATTATTTTTCAGTTATTGTCATGTAAACATAGTGACACATCCTGGGTTCGAATCTCACGAGGCGAGGTCGTGGATGCGCACTGCTGAGGAGTCCCACAACAGGACGAAACTGCCGTCCAGTGCTTCCAAGTTTTCCCTGGTGGTCTAGCTTCGATTGACTCACGTTTTCAACTATGATAATGACAAGTGACTGAAGAATCAAAATAATAATAAATAAATAATAGATTTGTCGATTTATTCGATGGAATATATATTAGACCTTAGTTTTCGTCACTAATTTATCTTAGTCAGACAACTATTGAAATTCATAGAACCCTGAATAACTGTTTGGTTTTAGTATGAACTTCTTCAGAAGTGTACTTTTATGACATAATGCTGAACTCAAGTCCCTATGTGATTATTTAACCTTTAGACTTTTGAGTTGACGTATTGTGGTTTACATATCTAACTTCAATTATTTCATGTTATTGTGAAATTCAACCAGGTCTGTTGGGAGATATCAACTCACTGAACACATTGATCAATGGTTGTTCAATTTCATGGATTGGTTGAAGTTAGACATTAACACCGTTGAATGCCGGCAGGTTCGTGGTCTAGAGGTTAAGTGCTCGCGCGCGAGGCTGGTAGGTCTTGGGTTCGAATCTCGTGAGATCGGATCGTGGATGTGCACTGCTGAGGAGTCCCACAACAGGACAAAACGGCCGTCCGGTGCTTCCAGGTTTTCCCTGGTGGTCTAGCTTCAATTGACTCATGATTTCAACTATATAAAAATTAGTAATTGAGTAAATTCCTAAATCTTGTATGATTTGATCTCACTTCACCCGGTTTCGCAGTTTGAGACGTTACAACACAACCTATTTAAGGCTTGGCAAAACTCAACGATAATGTCAAAAACTATAAAACTGACTGACTCGTATTCAAGTCATTTGTTGAAAATCAGTTTCATCAAGACTGAAAGCACGTTATTTTGATAAGTTTCAGTTAGCACGAAACTTACGTCTAAAACTTTCTGTCGACAACCTGTAACTGCCTCACGTATCGTTATAGTGTATGTGGTGTTAAGTCAATCAGAGTAGCT